CCTTTTGGCTGTTTTGAGTAGTGCTGCAGTGAACCTTGGTGTAAAACTCTCTGTTTTAGTCTTTGTTTTCAAGTCTTTTGGACATATATGTATCTCGGAGTGGAATTGGCTGATCATATGGTAGTTCTATTTTTGGTTTTTTGAGGAACCACCACTCTGTTTTCCACAATGGCTATACCATTTTGCATTCCCACCAGCAGTGGATAAGGGTTCCAGTTTCCCCATATTCTTGCCAACATTTGTTACTTTATCTTAGCCGTCCTAGTGTAGTTGTATTTCATTGTGGTTTTGATTTGCATCTCTGTGATGGCTGATGCTGAGCATTTATTCCTGTGTTTGGTGGCCATTTGAATGTCTTTGGTGAAATGTTTATTGAAGTCCTTTGCCCATTTTATGTTTGGATTATTTTTTTGGTGTTGTCAGAGTTTATATTGGCTATTAGATTCTTGTCGGATATATGGTTTCCAAAGATAATCTCCCAGTTGGTAGCTTGTCTATTCACTTTTCTTGTAAGGTCTTTTGATGAACAAAAGTCTTTAATTTTTATGAGGTCCAATTTATTTATTTTGTCTTTTGCTGTTTGTGCTTTTGTTAGTATATTCGATAATCCATGTTGAACGCTAGGCCTGACAGCATTGCTCCTGCTGCTTGTTCTAAGGATTTTATGATTTTTGTACATTTAGGTCCTTAATCCATTTTAAATTTGTTTTTGTGTATGATGTGAGGCATGGATTCTGTTTCATTTTTCTGCATGTGGAAATCCAATTTTCCCAGCACCATTTATTGAAGAGAGTCTTCTTTCCCCTATCAAATGGACTTAGCCCCCTTGTCAAAAATTAGTTGACCATAGATGTGTTGGTTTATTTCTGGATTCTCAAATTCTATTCCATTGGCCTGTGTGTCTGTTTTTATATCAGTACCAGGTTGTTTTGATTACTGTAGCTGCACAGTACATTTTAAAATGAGGATGTGTGATTTGTTTTTCTGTAAAGAAGACTGTTGGGATTTTGATTCAGATTGCATGGTATCTGTAGATTGACTCTGTAGATTGCTTTGGATAGTGGTGACATCTTAATAATACTAAGCGTTTTCAATCCATGAACATGGAACGGTTTTCTATTTATTTAAGTCTTTAATCTCTTTCAGCAGTGTATTATAGTTTTCGCTGTATAAGTCTTTCATGTTCTTGGTTAGATGTATTCCTAGGTAATTTATTCTTTTAGATGCTGTCGTAAATGGAATTGTTTCCCTAATTTCCCTTCCAGATTTCTCATTGCTGGTATATAGGAACCCAGCTGATTTTTGTTTGTTGACGGTATCTTGCAATTTTGCTAAATTTCATATTAGCTTTAGAAGTTTTCTTGTGGACTCTGGAATTTTCTGTGTATAGGATCATATCATCATGAATAGAGATAATTTTACTTCTTTTCCAGTCTAAAGGCAAACATTATCAAGCTGAACTGTAGTTTAAAGATGACTTCATAGGATAGTTTTGCTTCAGGGTTTAAAAGTTATTTCCAGGGAATGGATTTAGGGGTTTCTCCAGTTGCAGTATACCCAGTAAACCTGGTTTCCCATAAGAATTTGAAGTTCTTTTCTACAATTTTCCTTCTTTTGATCAAGATCCGTTCATTGGGTCCCTGATCAAAATGTTCACTAATTTGTAGCTGGGCACTACCCATTTTTTCTGGTCTCATGGCAGTAGACGTAGTAGTTCATGGAGGCAGTTAGACCTGCTGACCACTTCCTTTTTGGATTCCTGGGTCTCTTCCTTCCTTTGTTGCTGCAGGCCAATATTGTTATAGCTTGGATCACCTGTTCTTAAGGGGAAAGCTCCCAGTCTTTCTCCATTGAATAGGATGTTAGCTGTGGATTTTCCATAGATGTCCTTTATCAGATGAAGGAGTTTTTCTTCTTAATTTCTTGAGTGTTTTTATGAAAGGGTGTTGGATTTTGTCAAATGTCTTTGTCCATTCACATTATCTCGTAGTTCTTCTTGTTTGTTCTATTAATGTGTATTTCAGTGATTGATTTTCTAATGTTGAATCACCCTTGGCATTCCTGAAATAAATCCCACTTCGTCATTGGTGTCTGATCCTTTTAATATGGTGTTGGATTAGGTTTGATAGTATTGTTGAAAATTTTTGCATCTGTATTCATAAGGGATAGTAGTTTTCTTTTCTTGTGGTATCTTTGTTTGGCTTTGATAATCAGAGTAGTGCTGGCCTCATAGAATGAGTTAGGAAATGTTCTCTGTTTTGTCTTTTTAAGAGTTTGAGAAACATTGGTATTTTTATATTTTGTTTCAAATGTTTGGTAAAATTGCCCAGTGAAGCCATCTGGTCCTGGGATTTTCTCTTTTGGGAAGGTTTTTGACTAGATTCAGTCTCTTCACTTGTTATGGGTCTGTTGAGATCTTATGTGTGTTACGGATTGAATCATGTCCCCCCCAAAATGTGTGTCAACTTGGCTAGTCCCTGTTTCCCAGTGTTGTGTGATTGTTCACCATTTTTCATTGGATGTGATTTTCCTATGTGTTGTAAATCCTACCTCTATGGTGTTAATGAGGTGGGATTAGCGGCAGCTGTGTTAACGAGGCAGGACTCAATCTACAAGATTGAGTTGTGTTTTGAGTCCATCTCTTTTGAGATATAAAAGAGAGAAGTGAGCGGAGAGACATGGGACCTCATGCCATCAAGAAACAAGAGGCAGGAGAATAGTGCAATACCCAGGGTACCTGCGCTGAGAAGCTCCTTGACTGGGGAAGATTGATGACAAGGACCTTACCCCAGACTGACAGAGAGAAAGCCTTCACCCGGAGCAGGCCCCCTGAATTCCTAGAGCCATCCACTTGTGGTATTTCTAGCAGCAGTAAATAACTAAGACAATATGTTCCTAAGAATTTGTGCGTTTCATCTAATTTGTTGGTGTATAAATTATTTTCTTATGATCCTTTTATATGTATAAGGTTGGTTGTAATGTTCCCACTTTCTGATTTTAGATATTTGCATCTCCTTTTTTCTTTGTCAGTCTAGTTAAAGGTTTGTCGACTTTATTGAGCTTTCAAAAAAAAAAAAAAAACTACTGGATTTGTTGATTCTCTGTTATTTTCTGTTGTTTATTTATTTCTGCTCTCATCTTTATTTGCTTTCTTCTAATAACATTGGGCTTAGTTTGCTCTTTTTTTCCCAGTTCCTCAAGTTGTAAAGTTAGATTATTATAATTTTTTTTAATATAGGCATTCGCTCTGAGCACTGCCTTTATTGCATCCCGTAAGTTTTGGTATGTTGTGCTTTCGTTTTTATTCATTTTCTTGTATTTTCTGATGTTTTCCCCCTATGGTAGATTGTTGCTCCTTATTCATTTTTTGTTGTTTTTGAGACTATACGCAGCAGAAGATACAGCAGTTCAACAATTTTGACATGTACAATTAATGACATTGATTATATTTTTCAAATGTTGTATTTTCTGATTTCTTTGATTTTTTTCCTTGACCTATTGGTTGTTTTTCAGTTGTACTTCTGTTACTAATTTCTAGTTTCAGTCTATTGTGGTTGGAGAAGATCCTTTGTAGGATTTTAATCTTTTTAAATTAATGGAGACTTGTTTCATCACCTGGCATATGGTCTGTCCTGGAGAGTGATCCGTAGTGGGGAAGAACGTATATTATGCTCTTGCTGGGTAGTCTGTGTATGTCTGTTTGGTTTAGTTTATAGTGTTGTTCAAATCTTTTATTTCCTTATTTATGTTTTTTTAGGTGTTCTGTTATTGAAAGTGGTGTATTGAATTCTCCAGCTATCACTGTGTGTTTGTTTTATCCTTCAATTCTGTTAGTATTGGCTTCATATATTTTGGGGCTGTGATGTTTAGGTGTATCTGTAGTTATAATTGTTACATTTTCTTGATGAATTGGCCTATTAATCTTTATATGATGCTCTTTTTTCTTACAATAGATCTTCGCTTTAAGTTTATTTTGTCTAATCTTGTACTTTTGTTAAGTTTACCTTTAGTATATTCTTTTTGATGCTATTGTAAATGGAATTTTTAAAACCTGAATTTCTGTTATTGCTAGTTTATAGAAATACAATTGATTTTTTTAAAAATATTGAGCTTGTTTCTGGGAGTTTGGTAAATTTCTTTATTAGTTCTAGTAGGGTTTTTGAGTATTGTATGTATTTCTTAGGGTTTTATACCTATAGGGTCATGTGCTCTGTTACTAAATGAGTTTTACTTTTTCCTTTTCAATCTAGATACATTTCTTCTTTTTTTGACCTTATTGCACTAGCCTCTGGTACGATGTTGAATAGAAATGGTGGAAACTCGCATACTTTTCTTTGTTCCAGAACTGTGGGGGTGGGGGTGGGGAGAGGAGAGCGGGGAGCATTCAGTGTGTCAGCATAAGTATGGTTTGGATGTAGCTGCCCACTGTCAGGTTGGAAAAATTCCTCTTGAGATTTTTTTTATTGTGAATGCATGTTGGATTATGTGTTTCTGGGTTCTGTTCAGTGTTTTGTTAAGGATTTTTGTGTGTATGTTTGTGAAGGTTTGGTCTGTGTTTTCTAGTGTCTGACCCTGATACCAGGGTTAAGATTGGTCTTACGGAGTGAGTTTGGAAGTGCTTTCTCCTCATCAATTTTAGGTTCTTTCTTTTTAAATTAGTCGTTAGAATTTACCAGTGAAACTGTTTAGCCACGGGGATTTCTTTTGTGGAAGGTTTTCAGTTACTATTTTAATTTCTTGTTATAGGTTTGTTCAGGTCTTTAGATTTTCTCTAGAGTCAGTTGTGGTAATTTGTGTCTTTCTAGAAATTCATTTCATTTAAGCCTCAAGTTGTTTGTCGTATTTTTTTCTAACACTTTAAATTTTTGTAGGGTACTAGTGATGTCCTGATCTTTTTTATTCCTGATTTTGATAATTTGTATTTTCTCTTTTTTTGGTGGACATTCTAGCTAAGGTTTTGAAGAACTGGTTTTGGTTTTATTTATTTATTTCTTTGATTTTTCTGATGTCTCTTTTATTGGTTTTTGCTGTAATCTTACATATTTTTTTCTTATTGCTTAGTTTGGTTTAGTTTGTTCTTTTTTATTAAGTTGAAAGCTTAGGTTATTGATTCAAGACCTTTCCTGGTATCAACTTTCAAAGCTATAAATTTCCCTCTAAGCACTGTTGTAGCGGTATTCCTTAAATTTTGATATGTCGTGTTTTCATTTTCATTCAGTTCAAAATGTTTAATTTCCCTGTGATTTCTTCTTGACTTATTTGGGTTATTTAGATTTATGTTGTTTAATTTCTAAGTATTTGGGGATTTTCTTGATTTCTAATTTAATTGTCTTGTAGTCGGAGAACATTCTTTGTATGATTTAAATTCTTAAGTTTACTGAAATTTGTTTTACAGCCTACTATGTGATCTATTTTAGAGAATATTTCTTGTGTGCTAGATAAGAATATGTAATTTGTAGAGCTGGATGGAATTGCTCTGTCATTTAATTGAATTGGGTAATAGTGTTGTTCAAGTCTTTTATCTTTGCTAATTTTCTCTCTGGTTCTATCAGTTATGGAGAGTGAGATATTAAAATGTCAAGCTATACTTGTTAAATTGCCAATTTTTCTTTTCCATTCTGGGCTTCGTATGTTTCGTGGCTCTGGTGTTAGATGTGTATGTAATTGTATTATTCTTCTGATATATTGATTTAGGAAATTTTTTTTTGTCTCTAATAATAGTTGTTTAAAGTTTATTTTGTTTGATATTAATATAGTCACAACAGCTCTTATGATTACAGGGTGTATCTTTTTTCACCCCTTTAAACTACGTCTTTGAATCTAAGGCATGTCTCTACAACCAAAGAGGTTGTTCTATTTGGTTCTCTGTCAAATGGAAGTGTTTGTAGTTAAGAAAGCACAAATTTAAGGTAGTTTCATCTCTGTACTGGGTTTACTTTCTGCTGGTCTCCTGTGTGCTTCACAGAGCCTCAAGGTAGGCCAAGAGTGTGTGAAGTTTGGGGCCTCTCTGTCTCACATAGGTTAGTGAGAGCTGAAGTAGGTCCTCAGCTGGCCATCCTCTGAGAAGTCACTTTGAGTGATGATGCCCCTGAGCCTTGGATGTCACTAACTGCACGACAAAGAGTGAGCCCTCTTCTACTACAGCAGGTGTCACTCCTCACAGGGCAACGCTGATGGAGCTAAGGCAAGTGGAGAATGGGAGCAGCCCCAGAACAGAACACTGCAGATTCTCCCTATTTGAGTTAAAGGAATGGGGAATATGGCATGGAAATGAAATGCGCAATTGAGTATTTTTCTGTTCCTTATATGTTTTTTGTTATCTGGTCTGGTGAGTTTAATCAATCTCAATTTTGATATGTTACTTATAATCTTATCTTAATTCCAGTATATGAAAGTGTATGTTTGTTTTATTAAAATTTTTGCTTTCCTCCTTTCTCCCCCTTTAGGACATTTGCTACAAGACCCTATTGCACCCACCAACTCCACCTGCCAACACTATGTCTGCAAAACTTGTAAAGGCAAGAAAATGATGATGAAACCTTCATGTAGCTGGTGCAAAGACTATGAGCAATTTGAGGAAAACAAGCAGTTAAGCATTCTAGTGAACTGCTACAAAAAATTATGTGAATATATAACACAGACTACATTGGCACGAGATATAATAGAAGCAGTCGACTGTTCTTCTGATATTTTGGCTTTGCTTAATGATGGATCATTGTTTTGTGAGGAGACAGAAAAACCCTCAGATTCATCCTTTACTTTGTGTTTGACACATTCCCCTTTACCTTCAACCTCAGAACCTACGACTGATCCTCAAGCTAGTTTATCTCCAATATCTGAAAGCACCCTCAGCATTGCTATTGGCAGTTCTGTTATCAATGGTTTGCCTACTTATAATGGGCTTTCAATAGATAGATTTGGTATAAATATTCCTTCACCTGAACATTCAAATACAATTGATGTATGTAACACTGTTGACATAAAAACTGAGGATCTATCTGAGAGCCTGCAACCTGTCTGTGACACGGTAGCCACTGACTTGTGCTCCACAGGCATTGATATCTGCAGTTTCAGTGAAGACATAAAACCTGGTGACTCTCTGTTACTGAGTGTTGAAGAAGTACTCCGCAGCTTAGAAACAGTTTCAAATACAGAGGTTTGTTGCCCTAATTTGCAGCCCAACTTGGAAGCCACTGTATCCAATGGACCTTTTCTGCAGCTTTCTTCCCAATCTCTTAGCCATAATGTTTTCATGTCCACCAGTCCTGCACTTCATGGGTTATCATGTACAGCAGCAACTCCGAAGGTAGCAAAATTGAATAGAAAAAGATCCAGATCAGAAAGCGACAGTGAGAAAGTTCAGCCACTTCCAATTTCTACGATTATCCGAGGCCCAACATTGGGGGCATCTGCTCCCGTGACAGTGAAACGGGAGAGTAAAATCTCTCTTCAACCTATAGCAACTGTTCCGAATGGAGGCACGACACCCAAAATAAGTAAAACTGTACTTTTGTCGACTAAAAGCATGAAAAAGAGTCATGAACATGGATCCAAGAAATCTCACTCTAAAACCAAGCCAGGTATTCTAAAAAAAGATAAAGCGGTAAAGGAAAAGATTCCTAGTCATCATTTTGTGCCAGGATGTCCTACCAAGACTGTGTACAAAAAACCCCAGGAAAAGAAAGGGTGTAAATGTGGGCGTGCTACTCAAAATCCAAGTGTTCTTACATGCCGCGGCCAACGCTGCCCTTGCTACTCTAACCGCAAAGCCTGCTTAGATTGTATATGTCGTGGCTGCCAAAACTCCTATATGGCCAACGGGGAGAAGAAGCTGGAGGCATTTGCTGTGCCAGAAAAGGCCTTGGAGCAGACCAGGCTCACTTTGGGCATTAACGTGACTAGCATTGCAGTGCGCAATGCTAGTACAAGCACCAGTGTAATTAATGTCACAGGGTCCCCAGTAACGACGTTTTTAGCTGCCAGTACACATGATGATAAAAGTTTGGATGAAGCTATCGACATGAGATTTGACTGTTAAATCAGTGGGTCTTTAGACCTGCCTCTGGTAGGGAAATAGCTACAGTTTTACGGCAGCTATGGTTCTGTTGGTTTAACTTGCCGGAGCTCCTGCATATAGATCACTTGTATCAAGTGTTTTCATTGCTAAGTTATATGTGTTAGTGTCGGGGAAATAGTTTGCAGATAATGGAGGAGTAACCCTACAACTATATGTCTTTTGTTCTTACAGAACCTCATAGTTTGAGAACAAATGCTGATGCAACTGATTTATACAAAATGAACTTTGGCAAGGAAAATAACATTAACCTCATTGTTTATGGTCATGCTTTGTGCATAATCAAAGTTTATGATTAAATGTAAGGAAGTGGTATCTAGTCAGTCCATAAAGATTGTGCTAATTTTTTGTGGAAAAGTAGCCATTAGTTTATTCAGGAGACTCAGTGCTGCCTTCAGATGCCATTGATATTTCTCCTGTTGGAAAGCTGATGTGTCCAGTTCAACTTTTGTACTGACATATACTATTTCTGATCATGAAAATTGGCTACGTGGTGTATGTAGCAGTTCTTAAATCAGCAGTATTATGAAAGAAAATTTGCCCCTCGTTAGAATTTTTAAGATATCTTTTAAAAAAAGTGAACAAACTGAACTTCTGTCAGACTGCAGATGTTTAGCTGTTTATGCTACAAAACTCTTCTCAGTTGAGTTCTTTTTTTAGTTAAGTCTGATTTATTTCTAGGAAAAATTCTAAATCCTTCACTTTGAGCAATATCCTAATTGGTTAAATGAAGTGGAGAAAAGCAGTTTTATTCTGAAGGTAATTGGACTATATAGTATATGACAGAATTTGAAAGAATTATAAAAATGTTTTACTTAGAAATTGGGATTTATTTAAAATAATTTTTGGAATAATGCCCCCAAACTTATCCAGATTTATGCATTATACTTATTGCTATTGGCCACTTCTTCAATTTTTGTTTCCTTTAATAGTTTGGCACAGATTTTATTTTGAATATGCTCCTAATTTTTTTTTTTTTTTAAGGGTGCTATTCATTATGAAAGCTTCTTTATAGGAGCCTAATAAAAATGCCTTTTTATGATGCCTGTGCATTTAGGTAGGTTTGAAGTTAAGGGGATTTTCTTTAGAATGCTCTTTTCCATGTAAAGCACAAACTATGTTCCCATGATGACCTTCTTCCCTTTAATTTTTATGGGGAAGGCAAATGAGTCACGAACATTCTGTTGAAGGGAAATCTAGTCAGTTGCTTCAAAGAGCACAGCCCAAATAAAACAAGGACTGACTAGGTTATAAAAAAATGATCCGGCGAATTCAGAGATGCTGCTTTAACAGTGCTTACTTAAAAATACTGCTGGAAAGTTTCCAATTTCCACTACATTCACCAACTCTAGTGAGATATGACATATGTTGAAGTTATGTTTTGAGTTGGCACACAGCATGTTCAATGATGGTTACTCACCTAGTACAAGAAATGGAGACGAAAACCTTTGGACACAGAGCAGATGACACCTCCTTCTGTTTTGTAGTGTATCCTGGTGTCATTTTCTGTGAATGTGGTCAGGTAGAGTTGTTTTTGTTGTTGGGTTTTTTTTTTTGTTTTTTTTTTCCCACTTTGTCTCTTTCGGTGGGGTGGGGGTGGGCTAAAGCCATAGGAAGAAAAATGTGATGTATGTGTCCAATATGTACTATTCTGTTTTTGTTTTGCAAGAAGAGTTGAACTATTTTTGATAACAAGAGTAAATGGTGGAAAATGCTTCTTAGTTGTCTTGTCTTTATTTGCTTTCCAAGTTTTGGAATTTTATTTAATTCCTTTAAGTGTTAGTAGTGTCTTATGAAACATGTATTTGCCTAAAGTTTGTAATAATTTTGTGTTGAACCCAGATGCCCTGCTATATAAACTTGTAAATCTGTTCTAATGGTCACTGCAAAAATGACTAGAAATGAGATTGTACACATGGGTGATTAGGATATATTTTGCAAATCTCTCAAAATTTCCTAATATTATGATCTTAAAATTCATGAAGTACTTTATGCTTCCCAAGTTTGATGATATTAGTTTTGTTTTCGATGCATGGGAAGTTGGCAGTATAGACAAAGTGGAAATCATCAGTATGTGAGGGCCTTGATTATTATGTAATATTGCCAATGATGAATTCAGGTTGTTTTTAGCACAAATTTCTCTTTTTTATGCTGGTATTCTCACTGCCACATTTTTGGAAACCTGTATTATACTTTCAAATCTACCAATAAATGTTAGTTTTCTAATTCTATGTTGTAGAATACTGAGGAGTTTGGGATAGCATGCTTTGCGTGGTCTGCTCTATATATTTGGGGAAGAGTAATTACAGTGCCTTGATTTTTATATTGTTTTTGTTTATGCCACGAGTTATTTGGGAATGCTGACCAATGGCTAACTTGGCATGATTGAGAGATTATTACTGAAGTGACTGGATTTACTTGAAGAGGATTTGAAACCACCAAACATTAACAGCATTTAATATGACACATGTTCAATGTTCTTTTGGGTCCTTGTTATTAACAAATGATCAAACGATTTTTCTCCATAGGTTATATAAGAGAAGCTTTAGGGCTGATGATTTATCTTTTTGTTTAGCTTCATTAAATCTACATTTCTGTGCACAGGTGTAGTTTGGTCCTAGGATAAAGAATTTGTTTTACTTCATTGTGTTTTGGCTCTCAAAACAATTCCAAGATGATCTTGCTGAAGTGCAAAGAGTTTTATGATGATCAGATAAAAAATAAAACTGTCCTTTTTCAAACCAGAAGTAACAAATGCTTTAGAAAATACTAATATTTGAATGCATTTTATACTTGTTCCTCTGCTTTTTAAAAAGTTACCCAGATAACACAATTTACACATTCTGTTTAAAAAATACATTATAAATAAGGCTAAAGTCCCCTTTGATCCTCTCACACCCAAACCCTAGTCCTCTTTCCTATATCACCAGAGGAAACCACCTCTCAGTATGGAATGTTACCCTTCCAGACCCTACTTATTATAGTTTTTCTAGGGGTTCAAAGAGTTACTCTGTGACACTCAAACTTGTTTACATACAGTGTTACTTTTCAAACAAACTGAGTTATCAAAAACCAAAACCAAACCTGTTGATATCCAGTCGATTCCAACTTATAGCAACCCTATAGGACAGAGTAGAACTGCCCCATAGAGTTTTCAAGGAGTGGCTGGTGGGTTTGAACTGCCGACCTTTTGGTTAGCAGCCGAGCTCTGAACCACTGTGCCACCAGGGCTCCAAATTGAGTTAAAAGTGTGATTAAAACCAAAAGTGTGTAGTGATTATCCTAGTGAACATAATTCATGTTTAACAGTTTGTCTTTATTTAGTTTTGCAAAAAGGGAAAAACAAAAGTCATGCAGCCTTCTCCATCCAAACACACCTCAACATTTCCAGAAGCTGAGCAAATGACTTGTTTATAAACACTTGAACAGTATATGATAATACAGAATAAGAGGCAGAGAAAATACACAGAAGTTTATTTTGATTACCTCAGCAATTAATGTTACGCTATGAAACTCATGTTTCACTGAAGAGCATTAAGTTCATGATAACCTTCCATGTTATCTTTCATCAAGGAGCCTGGGATATTATAATAACTTCAAATTTCCGGTTTGGCAGTAATGCTTATATTCAGCATAATCTTTAAAGTCAAATAATATTCTACCCTAGTTTATCAGTTCACATTCCTTGCATTCAGCTCTAAGAAAAGAGTACATGAAACACGTTTATAATGTCTGAAAATGTGGTACTTTGGGTAACCTAAATTTATTTGAAACCAGTCTTAAATGTAATGGTATTGGTAGCTGTACTTTTATAATTACAAACTTTTTAAAAACCAAATGTGGATCAAAATTAAAGATGAATTTAGTAAGGAGAAACAAGGTAAAAAGGCAAAGCCAAATGTTAAAGAAAAACAAAACACAGGAAAATTGAATCTTAGTTTTACTTTTTTGCTGAATCTTAGAAACAGTTTAGATCATTATGGATAATAAAACCTTTGAAGCATATTTGGTTCTAAAAGAAGCCAGTATTACCTTTTTTGTATTTTTATCCAAAATAAATGGTTGCTTTCCTTCCCTGGTAAAGGCTGGATGGTAAATTCATGTTGTAACATAAGTAATCTTAATTCTAAAATAATGTATCAGTGTTTGCACATAGTGTTTCCTAAATTTAGTCACTTTTAAACTTTTAGTTCTGCATAGCCATCACTTTCTCTAACAGTTTAAATTAAACAGATGGTCAGTTCTAATCATGAAGGTAAAATAACAGGAAACTGGGAGGATCTTGTGTCAGGAAGGATCACTATTACTGTACTAGTTGATTGGGGATTTTCTAAATTCTCCTTTTCACTTTTTGCCTACCATAGCCCAAGGTATGGTTACTTAAATGCTTGGCCTTCAAACCAGCAAAGGAGCCAAGATGGTGCTGAAGGGAAGCTATTCTGACACTTTTAGGACTTATGGTTAAAAACAAAATTAGGGGAAAAGTTGATGATTTTGACAAAGATGGATGTTAAAAAGTTCCTTCGAGGTTTCTTCTATACTATCGGAAATTTCCATCTTCTTTGCTTTCAATTTTATTTTTAAGGCTACTGTAGGATTTGACTGCAAAATTTTCCTTAAATGTAGAATTTTGTAATGAACACACAAGTATGGTAAACATGAAATAGCTTGCTTTTATGGGTGGCATCACCATTTTTCTTCTATTTCTGTGGATAGAATATCTGGAATAGTAGTTTCTTTTCAACATGAATTAAGGAACAATGTTTACATTGAGGCCTTTACTGTCAGCCTAGTCTGTAATATTTAATAAACGAATATGTTCAGCATAGTTAAGAATTTTCATGTAAATCTTTTACCTTTAAGTTTTCAAGTAGGCCTTCTAATACTAATAGGAATAGATGGGGAATCAACTAATTTGGAGATTAATCATTCATTCAAAAGTTCTCTACAAATACTGGGTAAGTTAAAAGGATTTTTTTTTCCCCCCAGTATGAGCCAAATTCTGTACTTCATCTAGTAAGTTTGAGTTTTTGTATAAGATCCATAGTCATGATCTTGAGATTTTATATAAGATCCACAGCCATGATTGGGGAGGGATTATTCAGAGTTTGTCAGCAAGGTTGGAAGGCCCAGTAGTTAACAATACCTGAGGATGTAAAGTGACTTGTAGCTTGGCAGGTCATTGTGAAATTAAACTGGTAAGTTCAAGATCTTTCGACTCCAGTACACATATAATTAAAAGATGTCTCTGAGATGTTTTGGCAGTGCTTTTTATTACCAGGGCTAAGTCAATTCTGGAAGCCCTTACTGTTCTTTCAAGTTTCAGAATTTTTTAACTCAAGTTTTCTGCAAGTGAAGGTTTCTTCTAGGCTCCATAGGAGCCCTGAGGGGCCTCAGGGATGCTGACCAGCACTGAGGCAGTTCCTGCTTCTGTAGAGTGAACTCCGCTTGGGACTGTCCCTAAGAGATCCCTGATATATTTAAGGTTGTAGAATGCAGATTCTCAGACTTTGGAAGGTGACGTACGTGATTATATTTGCTTCTGAGGAAAAGCTCTGCAAGAGGTTTGAGGCAAATTGGAGGGGGTCTCCCATTGAGTGTGTATCGACCTATTGCTTAAAAACACTTTAAGGTTCCTAGTGCAGATACACACTTGCAGAAATCAAAGCTTTTAAAAAGCAGTATACAAACTAGAGCATTTCTTCACAAGAAAAAACATTTAAAATATGTCTCCCTTTCATGTGGATATTGGCAGCTACTCTTCATCCACTGACTGCAGCTTTCCACATTTCTCTGAAAGGTTTGAGGTTACTATTTTATTGCCTTTGTTTCCAAATTCAGAGGGAGGGACAGGTTCATCTGTTTCATAATCTTCAGAAAAGCTGAAAGAACAAATCAAAAAAGTGAGTTTTTTTTTTTTTTTTTTTTTTAAATGTTTAGGTCAGTATGGCAAACCAGAGACTGAAGACCAGCCTGTAAGAGTATCCTCAGTTGCTAAATAGTAGCTATAAACAGCTGAGCAGCCCTGAAGGAAGCATCACTCTAGAGAAGAAAACATTGTTCTCCCTGTTCCTTGAAACCCAAATCCATGTTAGAAATCGCTGAATCTGCTGTATAAAGCTTTCCCTAGGGGTACTTAGTGGGAATGAGAGCATTATGAATGGTGCTAGGTTAGGGTGGGTTTAAGATCCATGAATCAGGAGCTGTACGTGAATGTTTTCATTGAAGTGGGTTCCATGCGACCTGGGAAACTTCTCAACTCCCAAATTTGCTTGCTTCCATGGCTTTTAAGAAGTATGCTTTAGAGGTACAAGTGTGTATGTAGAGCAGGCTATATGGCCTATTCATGTATTTCCCTCCATTCTCCTTTGCAGAGCATAGCTTACCTAGATGTTCATCCTGAGAGAAATTCCCCTCAGTTCATTTCCTTTTAGAAAAGTTACTAGTATACCCTGAATTTCGTATTCTCCAGGCTATCCTGAAGGTGGCTTTAGGTAGAGTTGACAGAAAATATATTTTGTCTCTTGGGAATGCTGGCTGCCTAA